ATCTTCCCCAGATAAAGGCAACATTTCCTCCTCTAAGAAGAAACCACCACAACCACACATCCAAATTCTCTGCCCTCAAGGCCCAGCTGAAATCTGAATCCTCCCCAGCCACCCAAACATTACCTTCACCTTAAAGGTCCTAATTCTCAGGGTTCAGTGTTTCCCTACCCCAGCAATATCCAGTGCCCAGGGAATGCAGTCCTAGCTATAGTATAGGCACCAAGGATGGACATGACCTCTCCTTGCATTTAGACCCAACATCACATAACCAGCACTTCCTTGGCAACCTTTGTGCTTTCTAACCCATATTACAATTACACACAAATGCATTCAAACCATAAATAAGATCTGTGCCCTAAGTCACTACAAGAAGCAGGCTAGTCAGCTTCCTGATAAATATACAAATAAAGAACGAAGCTTGCAGAGCTCCTGGAGTACAGAATTTGAAGTCTCAGGATATGAAGGGTTCTAACAGGCCCAGGCATGGCAAACATGGCACCAGCAGGTCTTCTAATCCCCCTTCCCTCCTCCCCCTTCCCCAGACCTTGCTAACCCATCAGATTACATTCCTAAAGTGAGCAACTAAGGTCCATTCCATATCTGGTTACTTTCTTATGCTTGACTCATCCCTGAAGCTGAAGACCAAGATCCAACTAGAAAACATCAAGAACCAACAATCAAAATTCAGTATTTGGTTACATTGACTAACATGTCCAATCAGGACTTACCAGCTCATCCTAGCACAGTCTCCCCTTTTCTCCTTAAAAACCACTCCTCCAAAAAACACCTGCTACTGTTTTTGCCAGATCCAGAGGCAGCCACCCCTACCCTCCCACCCTCCAACCCTGTCTGTCCCCTGATGGTAATAAAATCTCCTTGGTATTGAGAATACAGTGTCTGGGTGTGTTCTGGGCTAACTCTGAGGCTCCTTCAGGATAGAACAAGTCTCCAGTACCTTGTTAATGAATTCCACTCCACTGGGTCAGAACATTCTACTTGCTGCTACATAGGGGAAAGAAATAACTTAATTCAAAAAGAGGAAATATAACTAAAATAAAGCTGATACAGGGCTAATCACTTCTGTAGTCTGACAGGGGAACCCTACTTCCCACCTTCAGCTAGTCCAAACCACAGAAAGGTGGATACACAAATTGTGTCCACCTCCTTCCATGCCTTAATCAGGAACTACAATGTCAAACTTCCCACACTCATTTTCCAACTGCCTTCCATGATGGTGTCTTCCCTCAGGTCAGGGTCTTAGTTGAGCTAGGTGTGGTGTGCACACCTGTAATTCTAGCACTCTTGTGGTAGAGACAAGAGGATCTGAAGATCCCATGTGAACATGTTTGGGGAGAGCCATGTTCCACATAGTGAGGTCCAAACCAGCAAGATTACATGGCAAGACCTTGTGGGGAAAGAAAAAACACCAAAACCAAACAAACAACTGAAGAACACGGATCACAAAGATCTAGCTACACCTCAATGTTAGAAAAAGGCATGGCTGCAGCTTGTAGCAGGCTTTCTTTTGGGCCACCAACCAGCCCCCCAAATCATGACACAGAAACATTATTAGTTGTGAATGCTCAGCCTTGTCTTAGGCTTATCCCACTGGCTCTCATAACTCAAATTAACTTGTTTCTCTTCATCTACATTTTGCCTCGGAGATTTTTTTACCTTTCTTTCATTCTGTATGTCCTACTCCAAGTCTGGCTGGCTGGTGGCTGCCTGGCTGCTCTCTGGCCGTCTCCCTCTCTTTCTCCTCATTCTCTCTTCTCTCTCTCTCGAGCCCTGATTCTTCCTCCTACTTCTCTCTGCCCACCAGCCCCAGCTATCCCTCTCCTGCCTAGCTAGCTATTGGCTGTTCAGCTTTTTATTAGTCTAAGCAGGTGCTTTAGGCAGACAAGGTGAAAAAACAACGTATCTTTATATAATTAAACAAATGCAACATAAACAAATGTAACACACCTTTATATAGTTAAAGTAATATTCCAGTTGGCTCAGGAAAGGAGCTAACATGAAATTATCCTTCAGAAATGAGCTTTGTAAGAAGGCCAAGGTTGCCATGATCAGGTCTTAAAGGGACAGCATTAAAAAGGGACCACCCATCATACCACTGACAACATGCTGGGAACTTAAAGGGAAAGAAAGAATTCCCTTTAAAACCTGCAGAGGCAATTCATCAAGAGGAATGGCTTAAATAAGAGATGGTCATCATGGATGGAATGATGGAGTGGCTAAGAAAATCACCTTCAGAGAAATCCTGGATGAAGAAAAACTGTATTGTTTTTCTATCCTCTCAGAAAGATATCCCCTCATCTGATTTAGTCTGGGATAGCATAAGTGAAGAGGAACATGGAGGAGGCAGGTACTGAGTAGGAGCATAAATTAGGGGCTGTAAAGCCACGAAACAGCCAGGATCCTTAACTCTCTGTCAAAGAGAAAGCTGGGGGTGGAGGTCACCTGATTTCTTCAAGCTTATAGCGTGAGTGCTTATAGAGACCAGCATCTTAAAGGGGCAGGCCCATGATCTAACAGTATGGAATACAGTAATTCCATATAAGGTGACTCTACAATATAAAACTTTCTTTATATTATCATTGTTATATTTAATTGTAAAGATAGTAAATGGCTTTACATTGCTTCAAAAAGCAAGAAATATTTTACTGTCAAGAATTATGGTATTCTTAACTCAGTATTAAAGAAAATGTTTACATTTTGAGGACTAAATGACAGTGGATAGGTACCCAGTTGTTTATAGTTATTATCGAATAAAACTTTGTTCTAAAATAGAATGACAGAACACATGAGTAAGGTCCAGTCTCAGCCTCTGGGCCAAGTCTACCTAGAATCTTGGTAGAGTTGTTGCATTTAAAAAGTCACTTCTGAAGTGAAGATGAGCAAAACAAAGATTTAATTTGGGAAAGTGATTTTTTTTTTTAATTAGTCCTTCAAAGCAATGATAGCCAATGGGAAAAAAATCACAAAACAAAGTATGTTTATAAAGACTTGGAATAGCGTTAACTCATGTTAATTATGTTACAGCAATTATAGTAGTTTATTTGAACAAAGAAAAGGAAAATGGCATGAGAATCAGGCAACTCCCAAACCAAAGCAGGTTCTAGAACAGTAACAGTGTGATGATCTGAAAGCATTACAGAAAATGGAAACAGCACTGAAAATGCCATTGGAGGCAACATAATCAACTAGTCAATAGCTTGCAACTTCATTGCAAGTTACTGAATTGGTTATAGGACCTCTTGAATAATGTTTAATTACTATGATTAAAGTCTACATTAGTCTATTGTGTCCACTGGTGGTACCAGGCTGTACCCATAGCCTCTGACAAATCTGACGAGTAACACTAAGACTCTATCAATTTCCTGATCTTAACCACTCCTTGAACTGACAGATCTACCCAAACTATTTTAACTCTGCAAATTCTGTTAGCTGTATTTGATCACAACAAAGATATTTAGATGTCCACGTTATTGTGCACATTAGTAACTAATTCCCTTGTAATTAGGCACAAACTCCACACACTTCCAAGATGAAAGTACAATACAGCAGAAATGTATTCCCCACTCCTTTTTGACAAGTCAAAACAATTGAAATATTTTTCATCCTCATTCTGGTAATTTTGTATATCTGTAACTTGCAATGTGTAGTTTTTACTGGTGCCCTATATTTTACATCAATAGCAACCAATAGTTTATTACCTCAAGAGAACACAACTCTGTTCTCACTCTGTAACAATGTGAAAACCTTCCTTATGGTCTTCAGCTAGTTAAGAAATTACAAAAAAAACTCAAGAACATTAATAGATCTCATTAAACCTGAGGCAATGACCTGACCAAACAGCAAGGGAGCAATACTGAGGCACATTCTGTTAATGTTTATTAAAAAATTAAATTTTAAATATTTATATATGTATTTTATGTAAGTTTTGTCTCATACATAAACGGCCAGCCTGGGCTACAGCGTGAGTTGGAAAAGCGCAAAGCTACACAGAGAAACCCTGTCTTGAAAAACAAAACAAAAAAATAAATAAATAAATAAATAAATTTTAAAAGCCTGTTTTGATTAGGAGAAAATCAGGGAGCTTAAAAGTATTTTTTATAAAAGCACTGTATCGTCAATACTTTTAAATGTCACTGTATCATGACTAGTAGGTTTGTTTGTTTGTTTGCTTGTTTGTTTGCTTTTTAGATTCAAGGACAACAGGTTGCAAGCACACTAAAGAATTCTCTGCCCTAATGTTCCTGAAAATACAGGTTGCTTCGCATAGAGCCACATCATTTCAAAACTAGATACACCAAAACAGATGAGAACGGATGTTAATTTAATCGTAGTCTTATCGTTTAAAATTACTCTTTACTGTTTGGGGGCGGGGAAGACTAAAAGAAAAGGCTTGTAGCAACGTCCTTATATAAAACCAGATTCGAAAACTAATATCAGGGCTTTCCAAACACTGTAACCAGAACTAGCAGAGGCTTCTCTTCGCACAGCCCTAAAATCAAGGACCAGAACAAAAAACTTTACTACTTTAGCAAGATGGCCCGTAAAATCTGAATTCTGAGGGGGCTGGGGGGGGGGGACACCATAAGAGAAAACTTTTTGCCTTGGGTCTGAAATGATGCCTCGGAAATCCCTCAGTCCCAAGGGCTCCCTAATTAATCGTGACATCTAAAGTCCAGAGTTTTAGCGTTTTTGTTTTTGTTTTAAAAACACACTACAAAACTGTGCGCTAAAAAGTAATAATAATAACCAAGAATTGCATGTCCCACGTCTGTAATTCCAGCACTCGGAAGGCTTCGAACGAAAGCTCAAAGACAGTCTGGGCTACAAAATGAGACCTTGTCTCCAAAAATAAAAGGTAAACGATGAAAAAGTCCAGACCCTCAATGACTATCTCGGAAACGGGAGAAAGTCACAGCCAAACGCCAAGTGCACAACAAATGGGCGACGTGACACCTCCACGCTGCAGCAAGGGCAGCACTCACCCAGCATTCGCCGGGGAAACGCAGACCGCGGGCGTTTCGAAGTCAGCAGCGCGACCACACACTCGCTCTGCAATCACTGAGCTCAACCTCTCGCCTAGCATCCTCCGTGCGCGCTGGGCGCCGCCATCTTGACGGAAAGAGGTCCGGGCCCGAGGTCCCTGCGCCGCTCGCCCAGAGAGAAGCCGGTGATCCAGAAAGTCGCTAGCTGGTCAACTCCGCACCTCTAGGGCTGAGTCCCCCCCAGCCATGATGACGCCGATTATCTCAGGCTGCCGATCAGGCCCAGGCAAAGCAAACTCACCCTCTCAGTCGCGCACAGCGGGTCAGGCAGCGCTCAAGACAGCCGCACCGGGCAGGGGCGGGGCAGCGGCGCACGCTTCGTAACCCGGGCAACCGGGCCTGGGCAGGTGTAGGGGGCGTGGTGTCCGAAGACGCCGAGGTCTCGGCCCCGCCCCCGAGCGGTTCGGAAGAGTGCAGGCTGAGGAGGAGACTGCCAGCCGCGGAGTTCGAGCCCGTCAGCGTCCCCCGGAGGAGTGTGCCTGGGGCTGGACGGCCGGGCCTCCTGCCGCTGGGCCAGCCTGTGAGCCACGCGGAGCCTCCCGGACGCGGGCGCCTCCCCTTAGCTGCCCGCCGCCCTGCCTGCGCCGCCGCCTCCTCGCGCGCGGGACTCTTCCCCAGGCCGCGAGCCAGGCCGAGGCGCTGCTTCTGCTTCCCAGCGTGCTTTTTGCATCGTTTGACATTGGGGTTGAGTTAAACCCCGGGACCCCCTCGAAGAAGGACCTGTTTGGTTTTTGTTGTTATTTTTTTGTTTGTTTCCAACATGGCAGCCTCCAGCCGCGCACAAGTGTTAGATCTGTACCGGGCGATGCTGAGAGAGAGCAAGCATTTCAGCGCCTACAATTACAGGTGACCCGGGGGGAGCGCCGGGAATGGGATGCCCAGGTCTGTCTCTAAGGGTCGCGGAGCAGGCGCCCGCAGCTTGGGTTAGTGACAGGTTCCGCTGCCCTGACGCGCACGTGCAGCTGTCCACCCCCAGGTGTGACCCTCGGAGCCCGGGAGGGGAGGAGCCAAGGGCTTGCCCTTCAAGTCCTGGGACATCTCCCCTGAACTGACTGACACCCAAGTTGGTGCTTTAGGACCCTTGGCCAGTGTCTTGTTTCTGCGATCCGAAACGATGGGCGTGAAGCCGCGAGTGAGAAAAGTTAGGACAAGCAAACATGTGCCGTACATGAAACTTTCCTTGAGAATACGACTGGAAGCAGTCGCTGGGAACCACGTGGCCGCAGAGCTGGAGGCTTGCTCTGGGCCCCCCTTTCATTTACTCCGGTGTTTTAATTCGCGACTCTGGGGCCAGGGACCAGAGCAGCGTTTCTCAACCTGTGGGTCAAGACCCTCGAAAATGACTCTTTCCCCGGGGTCGCTTGAGAACATTTGAAAACACAGATATTTACATCATGATTCATAGCAGTAACAAAATTACAGTTATGAAGTAGCAACAGAAATAATTTTATGGTTGAGGGGGTCACCAGGACATAGGAACTGTATTAAAAGCTTACAGCATTATGAAGGTTAAGACACTGAATTAGAGGATAAAGGAGAGGGAGGGAGTACATATACAAGAAATGTTAAAGGTAAGAGGAGTTGCTAAGCCTTCAGAAACTGAAATGTTAGTTTATCCTGCCTCACCAGACTGAGATCTTCCCTCTAGGTCCTAGAGTCTAGGACCTATAACAGCAAGAAAACAAGAGCATCAGTTCTTCAAAAAAGAAATTTAAGTTATACATAAATGCACAAAAATCATGCATTAATGGGGTGCCATATGTGTACCTCACTTTCATGCAATAAAGCTTACATTTTTAAGCCAGCCCATTTTTTTCCATGCCTGGCCATTCCACTACTTGTATATGAGCCCCTTATACTTGTTAGAAGTTCTCCACCTCAGAGCCCCCCCACCTTCTCAATTTCTGCTTCTTTGGAATTTCTGACCCACCATTTCAGTAGAGCCTTCAGGGTTTTTCTGAGATGTGGTGTCTTACTGACTAGTTACCTGAATCCTCTGAGACTGAAGCATACTCCTGAGAACAAGAATCGGATGGAATCAGCTCATGTTTCTTTAATGGATTACTTATTTACAGTTATTTCCCAAGTGTTCACAAGCTAGTCTTCACTTTTTACCATTTCAGACATTATTGATGTCGTACCCTTAGGTAACTGACTAGGCTATGGTGTCCTGGTGTCCCCTAACTCCTGAAACAGACCTGGTTCTAGGTGCACCCTTCTCTAGAAATTGAGCTGCAAGGTCCTGTGATGGGCAGGCCATGCACAACCTCAGTCTGTGGACGGATGCACCAAATATCTCCAGCAGTAATTCATCTTTTAGAAACCGACTGAGAAATTATACTTGTCCTGTCAACTTGAGAGCAGCATTGGTTGTGCTAGTGAGCTGATACCCACTAAAGACATGGTTAAATTAAACATGGTTTTACTTGATGACTTTGCCTTTGGAAGATAAAAGATATAAACACTAAACCTGCCAATGGATGTTCCATAAATACCTACTGCTAAGTACTTACAATTGATGGAATATAGGAAATTTGGAAGTAAATATTTGGAGTGTTCCCCACAGTCTAAAAGATGTTCTGTCTCAAGAATAAACATGGAAGGAATAAACAGAGACTAGGTCACACTAGAGGGCACATCTGGGAACAGACTGTATAAAACACAGGAAGCAGCCCTCAACAGAGATTGTAACCTTGGAGTTACTCGGCCTCTGAGATTCAGTTTTCTTCATGGCAAAACTAAGTCATTGGACTAGACAGCCTCTTAAGGGTCCTTCATTTCTAAACTTGCATCTGGAAGTGACTTAAAAGCCGATCAATACACCAAACATTTTCCAAGTCCCTAGGAGTAAACTGAAAATCGTTGGCTGTTCCTAATAGAAATGTAAAACTGAGCTTCAGCATAAGCAACTATATGCTGATAAGCACTCTAAGAGTAGTCTGTGCCTCACACCAGATGTGTTTTCCACGTAAATGTAGTGGTCACTTTTACCAGATACCATTTATCCAAAACCTGAGAACCCTGCCTGCATTATCATTATGTCCCACGAAAATAAATCTTGCTTCCTATAAAATATGTCTGCCTCTCCAATACTCTGTAGAACTCAAAAATAACTGCTTCCCTCCTCTCTCAACTGAACACTATTTGTCATCATGGCAATCACTGAGAGTATCCATTGATCACTTCCATGTTTTCTGTTCTTTATGTCTATTAGCACATTTATTTTTGAAAACTTCATGAGGTACTGTTTTTATGAACTAATCAAAAACCAAGCACTAGAGACGCTAAGCTATCAAAAGTCATGAAGCTGATGCTAGATGACCAATCCAGAGAGCATTGTTGAGCCAGGACATGGTGGGGCACAACTGTAATCCTGACACTCAGGAGGCAGGAAGATGAGTTCAAGGCCAATCTGGTCTATACAGCAAGTTCAAGGCCAGCTTGGGTTACATGATCCTATGTCTCAAAAATGAAAAAAAGGCATTAGTGAAAAATTTGTAAACAACCCAAAAGTTTTGATGTCTAAAGTAATCACAGTGCTGAACTATTTTGTAAGACCTGTACCTAGGCCTCATTTCAATAGCCTGGGCAGGTTTCATCCCAGCACCAGCAAGCCTCACTCACACACCCTGTGTTCTTTATTGTTTCTTTCTTTCCCCTCTCTCTTTCTCTCTCCACCTCTCTTCCCTCTCCCTCTCCCCATGGCTCAAGAGCTAGGATTAAAGGCTTCTACCAAAAGGCAGCCACTTGTCATTTCTTAAATGTACCATGTCCTTTGGTCCTCAGACCTTTGAAAGCCCTCCTCTGTCTAGCACGTCCCTTGTCACCCCTACCCTGAATGCCTTCTCTTCCTTAAGATACTGTAGTATGCTATGACCTCTGAACATTGCTTTTCCCCATTCACTTCATTGCACAGCCACCAAGACATCCAAACAGACCCCCTTCTTAGGTTCATTTAGCTTAGTGCTTCTAGAAAACCTCTGAAGTTTCCTTTCCCCACCACTGAATCAGGCCCCAGAAATACAAAGGTGAGCGTTTTGGACTTGGCAACCCATGTTCTCTCAGTAGCTAACAGGAAGGTTTTTTGCAGCCTGTTGTGATAGAAGGTTGGGCAGGGTGTCGAATCAGCTGGAGGACCTCCCAGACATTGGCATCAGATCAGCTGCGAGCTCACCAGCATAAACTCAGGTAACTACAAGCAGAATATTGCAGCTCAGATGACAGACATACCAGGATTTGTAGTCTCCACTGTGGAACCTGGGTTTTGTCTTAGGTGAGAAGCAGCCAAGCCACCCTATTGTGATTTCAAGTTGTTAAGTGACAACCAGATCTGAGGATTAGGTAAGTTCCTTTGGGCAGCAGGATAAGAGTATCTTGAGCTAGAAGTGAAGACATTAGTAGGAGTTGATTGTAATAGTGAGAAGAGCAATTAGAGAACATAAGAAAACAGACTTTTGTAGGAGAGTATTAGAACTCTGATGACGCAGTCTTATTATTCAATTATTCTATTGCTGTGAAGAGACACCATGACTAAGGCAGTTCTTTAAAAATAAGCATTTAATAGAGGCTTGCTTACAGTTTCAGAGGGCCAGTCCATTATCATCATGGCAGGGAGCATGACAGCACACAGGCAGACATGGTGCTGGAACAGTAGCTGAAAGTTCTACATCATGATCCCCTGGCAGCAGGAAGAAAGAGACTGGGCCTGGCCTTTGAAACCTCAAAGCTCACCTAGAAGGCCAACAAGTCCTCCAACAAGGCCACACCTCCTAAGCATTCAAATGTGTGAGTCTGTGGAGGCCATTCTTATTCAAACTACTACAGGCACCAAAATAGCATCAAGGTGGGTCTAGAGTATGGCCCAGGAAAGGGGAAACAGATGCCCTGCCATTAACTGACTAAAACAGTAAAGAAATAGCTGGTCTGAAGAGATCTTTCACTCACTTTGGGAATGTCCCCAAGAAGGAATGGAGCCCAGGGCACCCTGCAGAAGCAGGTCATCACAGCCTGCACCTCAGTAGCCCCAGCACCCAAACAGCCTGAGCCACCATGTCCACGTAGCCCTCGAGAGTCTCCAGCATGCTCTGTCCTGCACTTTCTCTTTTTTAACATTTAAAAATATAGACTTTAATAAGTGTGATCAGGTCAGCTTGTGGAGAAACTGACATAGATACAAAAGTTGGAAATAAAAGTGACCATACAGAGTTTCTATACCTGATTCATTTTGCAGAATATTTATTAAGGTGGTTTAATGTACAGTTTTTGATTTATTGTTTTGAAAGGCCTTTATTGTAAAGTTATGATTTTATCTGATGAAAAACAGCAGTCACAATGATCATTCTGGACCTTCATCTTAGATAAGTTCCATTTCTTCTTGGGACAATGGTTCTCTTTGTATTTCTAAGATACTGTTCATATTATTTCTGCATTTCTGGTGGTCCCTAATGCATCAGCAAATGTTGGGATATACTTGCTTTTGAATGCTGTGATGTTATAGAAGAGTGCGAGTAGCCCAGCTTATCTCAAAGCTTCTGAGCCATTGAGTTTAGGATCATCTCCTGGGTCAGGGAACCTTATTAATGGAGCATGTGTCTTCAGTCAGGGAACCTTATTAATGGAGCATGTGTCTTCAATCAGGGAACCTTATTAATGGAGCATGTGTCTTAACTATTGGCACAGCCTTACTGGCTGACACCATCTTATGCCTGTCATAACCCCTATCCCCTGCACTTCTTAATAGATACAGGAATGATTCACTGCCTCCTTTCCCCATATGCCCACAGATCAAGAACCAGAGTAAATTGGAATGAGTCTGTCAGGAGTCATACTAATACCAACCGAACCTT